GCTCTTTATCCAAGGATTTTACGTTAACCCGGTGAGTGGCCACCTCTGGTCCCATGGGTGTCTTTGTGGTGTCCTTAAAAGCCCTGGAGCGTCCTGACCCACTTGGTCCTCAGCAAGAGCGAAGAGTGGGGAGTCATGAATAGGAGCAGGGGAACAGAGCACGGGGACTCTGTCTTCCTCAAAGAGCTTTAAGTCCCTCTATGAGGCGTGCTGGTGGTGTAGTGATCATGCACTGGACTGTGAACCACAAGATCAGCAGTTCGAAATCACCAGCTGCTCCAAAGGAGAAAGATGAGGCTTTCTGCTCCTATAAAGCGTTACCGACTCAGAAACCCTCAGGAGCAGTTCTCCCTGTCTGATAGGTTGCTGTGAGTGGGAACTGATTTGACAGCAGTGAGTGAGTGAAGCCCTTTTAGATAGAACACTCTGGAGTCACCCCCAAACCTGACCCTTTCTAATCCTCAGCCGGTTCCATACGCTTACCCTCCTCACCAACATCCACGCTCACAGAAAGTAGGGAAGAGGAAGTAAGCAGAAGTTTGAAGTTCCAATGTTTTACTGCCGTTTCCCACCCCTTTCCAGTCATGTTGGCTTTGAATCATTGAGTCTTTTGAACAACTCTCAGTTCTGCCCAGCAAGAGAACCAACGAAGTGTTCGACAATGTAGCAAGGTGGTTGGTTGATGCAAACAGCAATGCTCTCAGCTGTTAGACACCGGAGGCACCTCCGAAGGCAAGCCTGGCAGTCTGCTTCGGAAAGATCACTGCCTTCAACTCTTGGTGAGTGGTTCCGCTCTGCGACATACGGAGTCACCATGAGTCAGGATAGACTCGATGGCAACCCACAATGGCAAGATGTCACCTAAGTCATGTGCCAAAAAAAATGGAAAACAGCCTCCAAGCACAGTGGTCTGGGGCATGCAAGCCAGCACCCCACTGACCTCCATAGAGGCTGAGGTCACTGAGCTGTGACAGGAACTGAGAAACACAAGGACAACATCACAGCATTCTTAAAACTCGGCCAGCATGCAGGAGAGGCCACGTGAGGAGCCTTAGGGGACAGTCCTAGCTGAGCCTGGGCACCAGAGATGGGAAACCCCTTCCTGAGAAGGATGTCACGTGGCTCTATCAGACCCGCCATCCATCAGCTGAACCCCACTTAGCCCTGCTGGTACCACATGGGGCAAAAGAGCCATTCAGCCAGTCCTGCTCAAATTCCCAACCCATGGAATCAGAAATGCAATGAAAAGGTTTGGGCTTTTTAAAATTTAAAACACGGGTTATTTTTATACACACTGCTTAAGAAGCATTGACAGAGCAAGAGAACATGCCCGACTCGAGTTTTGAAATATAAAGTCTGGGCTGTGAAGTGCAGTTTTTAATCAAGTGAAAGTCTCTTGATAATCCATTTCAAAGAAGAGCTATTCTGGGTCCTTCATATTTTCCCTGACCTGTTTCATATGTCCGTTTTATGAGGTCTAGAACAGGGGTCCGCAAACTATCACCCAAGGGCCACCCACAGCCCACAGCTTGCTTTCTAAAGAGTTGTATTGGAACGGGCCACACTCCCCCATTTGTCTGGCCGCTCTCACACTAGAAAGGCGGAGCTGAGTGGAGACAGAGGGACCTCAAAGCCTATGATCTTTAGTGCCTGGTCCCTGACTAAAAAGTCTGCTCACTCCGGGTCTAGACTTGGGAAGGCTACCGTTTACCTGTGCGTACTAGGAATTCCCAGTCTCATTTAAGACTCACAACAATCCTAGGACATTGGCACAATTGCTATTACCCCCGCCCCCTTTTTCCCCCAGAAAAGGCAACAGAAAGCATGAAATCCTTAAGTCCAATTGAAACACAGAATCAGGGAACAGCCAGGCAAGGAGTCAAATCCAGGTCTGTCCAAGTGCACTGAGCCTCAATAAAAAGCAGCTGCAAACATTCTCCCCAGACAAGCAATCAAAATGAATGACTTAGCTTAGAAGTATCTAAGGTAGCGCTCATAGTGAAATAATGTTCTGTTTTAAAAATCACCTGCCACCAGGTGGAAGATTCTGAAAGTGGGAAGGAAGGAGCCCCGCAAAGTAAGGCAAATTTTTAGTCATCCATTAAGGAAATTACTTTAAAACATGGCCTAATTGCCTTTTAAAAGACAACAGAAAGAGGAAGGGGCTATTTTTATTCATATGGTCAGATATGCAGGGCAGAAAGTAGGTTAACACGCTACTTCATCACTGTAAATATATACAGGGGAAAAATGGCTTGGCTTGACACAGAAATAGCACAATTTTGAAGTATTATTTTTGCATTACTTTTCTAGTTAAACCACAATAATGTATATATACCTTCATAATCATTTGTTATTTAAGAGAGCAGATTTGAAAGATTAGCTAACAATCCAAAGCATGACAAGAATTAGAATGAATTCTCACTTTGCAAAGGATGGGCACAAACCAACGGAACCCACAGTCATCAAGGGCATTTCAACCCACTGCAACCCCACAGCACAGAGCACGGCTGCCCCGTGGCATTTCTGAGGCTGTAGCATTTACAGCAGCCTGCCACATCGTCCATCTGCAGGGCGATGGGTGGGTTTGAACTGCCAACCTTTTGGTTCGTGTTTGATCTGTTTGATTATTTACTTTACACTAATTCCTCTCTCTCACCTGTGCTTTCACTTGGGGTTTGTAACAGTAGCTAAAGAACAGAACACGTTAGCACACAGCTGATCTGTGGAGTGGGCACATTTGTTTGGGGCAAGGGAACAAAGACTTGGAGAGAACAATTATTTCCACTCAGGATTACCTAGAGGTTATCACAGGTCAAACCACAAGGAAATAAACACATATAAAGACAGCTGATGGGAACTGACAGTCATCTATCAAGCTGGTACTTAAAAAAAAAAATTAAAAAACGCATCCCAGCCTGCAAGTCACCAAGCAACCCCACTGAGATCCTACTGCTTTCCTCTGCTCCCTCTGGGATGCAGTTAGCCGGCTGGTGGGTCCCGGGGGTGGGGGTGGGGGGATGCGGGGCGACACTAGCCCCAACACCAACATGTGCTTGCAGCTTGCCAGAAACGACCCAGAGGCTCAGCTGACAAGTTCCTTCCGTGAGCACTCTGCGGGTGCCCAAAGCACAAAAACACGGGATTCTGACAGAACCACCTTTCAAACGTGCCACTCAATTGCTTCAAAGCCCACAAGGGGCGATTAAAAAGATCGGCTTTTAAAAAAACAACTATGAAAATGGGCAGGAGAGAGCAATCGGGATTCCTTGGAGCCGTGTCACTAAGCGGGACACTGGTAAACCAGTGCCGTTCCAGTTGACCTCAGATCACGGTGCCCTCGGGAGTGAGTGTCGGGCACATCGGTCCTCCATGAGGATTTCAATGCTGATTTCTCGGGAGTAGGTTGCCAGGCCTTTTTTCTGAGGCACCTTTAGACGGACTTCCGTCCTTCCTGTTCGGGGCCATTTGCACGTCCAGGGATTCCTTAAAACCTGCCACCATCAAGTCAATTCTGGCTCACAGTGACCATAAATGAAGGAATGGAGGGACAAGACAACAGCCTAGACCAGCAGTGCTCAACCTGGGGGTCGAACGACCCTTTCACAGGGTCGCCTGATTCATCACAGCAGCAAAATGACAGTGATGACGTAGCAACGAAAATAACTTTACGGTTGGGGGGTCACCACCACCTGAAGAACTGTATGAAAGGGTCGTGGCATGCGGAAGGTTGAGGACCACTGGCCTGGACAGAAGTAGTGAAGA